AGCGATATTTACGAATCGGCGATTTTGCTGACTTTAACTCCCATTTTAGGCCAATTACATTATTCCAGTCGACCAAATTCTTAGCTATTTCACTAGTATTACTTCTATTCTATCGATTGAGCACAAGAAATCGCCAAGTCAACCATTTCAACTACAAAATAAAGTGACCGGAAATTGGTAATTTGGCCAATTTAACACAAAGTTCAAAATATTCCAATTTCAAAATAGGGTCCAGAATAAACAATGTAGGTATTCCTGGCACTAAACTAACATTTTCTCTGTTCATTAGTTATGTTTTGAGGCTTCACAAATAAATTCCATTTTGAATTTTTATTCACATAATGAATTTTTATTCACACCAAAAAATAGAAGATTTACTTTTATGCAATATGTAATAATTGTATAAATATCATCACCACATTTGTGAATGTATATTAGACCCACCAGCTGGCGTGTATAAGACGTGTGAGGTCGTTTGTTTACTCTTGAACATCGGTAAAAATTTAACATTTCCACCACTTTGAGCTCAGTTTCAAGCCATTTCCAGTGCTAACACCAATCAAAATTATCTCTATTTCTGTGATATGTCTTCCATTCTATTAAATGAGACCAAGAAATCACAAATACAACTATAAAAAACATACGAAAAAACACTGCAAAGTCGCTGTTTTAATCGAAAATCACAGTCTCGGTTTTTTTCCTCTCATTATACACATTGTGCTGCAGGATTTGTTTTATGTGGTGCACACATACCACATAGATGTATTCTCTCATATCTAGGCCCAAATTTACCACTCACAGTTTATCAGAGTGAGCTGAGCTCATGACGTAGATCTACGGTTTGGACCCTGAACGTAAAGCCGTAGATCTATGGGACGGACCCTGAAAGGGTTAAGGGTTAAAGTTGAAGAATGACATGATATATATTACCTAACAATCATAGGTATTATATTATATGTAAACTAATGTATATTCGTATGTATAATATATATTCATAACAAAACAAACAGAAATTTCCAGTCATAGAAACATATTTACATCACAGTTTTTAGGCTTTTTTGCTTGTATTTAGTTTGGCTCTCCGACACCAGTGTTAGCAGCAGTCGCCCGTGAAAATGATTGTCAGATTCCCCTAATATCTCTTCTCCATGATTACTATCTTGGTGAAATCATTCACTGTGCATATCTGTTTCACAAAGCTGTACATGTTTTAGCATAACTAAATTCAAATTAGAATTCAGCACCCCAGAATTGTCTAAAAACACATGTTAACCCTTAACCCTTTCAGGGTCCAAGGCCCAAATCTGGAGTCACGCACCATTGTCCAAGAATTTTCAAAAAAAAATTTGTTATTTTTTCTTATGAAATCGTAGAGAATCTTTTTGTGAAGGTAATAAAACAAAAAGTACAAAATTTGGTGGAAAATTGACAAAATTATGCTCTCGCGAATTTTGATGTGTCAGCGATATTTACGAATCGGCGATTTTGCCGACTTTGACTCCCATTTTAGGCCAATTACATTATTCCAATCAACCAAATTCTTAGCTAGTTCACTAGTATTACTTCTATTCTATCGATTGAGCACAAGAAATCGCCAAGTCAACTGTTTCAACTACAAAATAAAGTGATCGGAAATTGTTAATTTGGCCAATTTAACACAAAGTTCAAAATATTCCAATTTCAAAATAGGGTCCAGAATGAACAATGTAGGTATTCCTGGCACTAAACTAACATTTCCTCTGTTCATTAGTTATGTTTTGAGGCTTTACAAATAAATTCCATTTTGATTTTTTATTCACATAATGAATTTTTATTCACACCAAAAAATAGAAGATTTACTGTTATGCAATACTGTAATAATTGTATAATTATCATCACCATATTTGTGAATGTATATTAGACCCACCAGCTGGCGTGTATTAGACGTGTGAGGTCGTTTGTTTACTCTTGAATATCGGCAAAAATTTAACATTTCTGCTACTTTGAGCTCAGTTTCAAGCCATTTCCAGTGCTAAAACCAATCAAAATCATCTCTATTTCTGTAATATGTCTTCCATTCTATCAAATGAGACCAAGAAATCGCAAATACAACTATAAAAAACATACGAAAAAACACTGCAAAGTTGCTGTTTTAATCGAAAAATCATGATTTCAGTTTTTTTCTCTCATTATACACAGTGTGCTGCAGGATCTGTTTTATGTGGTGCACACATACCACATAGATGTATTCTCTCATATCTAGGCCCAAATGTACCACTCACAGTTTATCAGAGTGAGCTGAGCTCATGGCGTAGATCTACGGTTTGGACCCTGAATGTAAAGCCGTAGATCTACGGGACGGACCCTGAAAGGGTTAAACTGTCCAAACGTAGAAAAAAGTAGATCTTCTTTTCATTTTTTTTACATTTGAAAAAGTGTAAAAAAAAAAAACTTTGATCTACGTTTTTTTTTTTTTTTTTTTTTTTTTTTTTTTGTATTTGAAAATATGTAAAAAAACATAGATCTACTTTTGGAGCACTACGCATGTGAACGTAGATCTGCTTGGACAGTTTAAGGGTTAAAGATAAACTGAAACCATTGTTGGCCAATGTTATTTGTTTCACTTAACCCTTTGACTGTCTCGGCCGTATATATACGTCTTATGAGGTACCGTGTTTGACGTATACAGTGGACCCCCGGTTAACGATTTTAATCCGTGCAAGAGGGCTCATCGTTATGCGAAATAATCGTTATGCGAATGAATTTTCCCCATAAGAAATAATGGAAATAAAATTAATCCGTGCAAGACGCCCAAAAGTATGAAAAAAATTTTTTTTTACCACATGAAATGTTAATTTTAATACACACAAACTGAAAAAGGCATGCACAATTACATGACACTTACTTTTATTGAAGATCTGGTGATGATTGATGGGATGGGAGGAGGGGAGAGCATTATCTTCTTACTGTTTAGAAGGGGAATCCCCTTCCATTAGGACTTGAGGTAGCAAGTCCTTTTCTGGGGTTACTTCCCTTCTTCTTTTAATGCCACTAGGACCAGCTTGAGAGTCACTGGACCTCTGTCGCACAACAAATCTGTCCATAGAGCTCTGTACCTCCCGTTCCTTCAAGACTTTCCTAAAATGGGCCATAACATTGTCATTGAAATAGTCACAAGCACGGCTTGCAACAGCTGTGTCAGGGTGATTTTCATCTATAAAGGTTTGCAGTTCAACCCACTCTGCACACATTTCCTTAATCTTTGAAGTAGGCACAATGGATTCCACAACTGGCATAGGCTTCTCAGGGTTAGCCCCAAAACCCTTCAAAATCTTCTTAATTTCCATACTAATTCTCACCCTTTTTACCACAGGGTTGGCACTAGAAGCTTTCTTGGGGCCCATGGTCACTTATTTTCCAGAAACAGCACCGAAAATACTGTAATAATACGAAATATTCCGAGTGTATGCTTGGATGTTACCGCGGAGGCTGGCTGGTAAACAATGGGACGGAGCGGCACATGTGAGGCTGGCTGAGGGCACATTGGACGCGTCTCGGACGAAAATCGGTATGCGGGTTTTTAATCGGTATGCGCGGCAAAAATTTTGCGATAAAAGTAATCGTTATGCGGAAAAATCGCTATGCGATGCCATCGTTATGCGGGGGTCCACTGTATATACTCATAAATTCTAGCGGCTTTAAATCAAGCAGGAGAAAGCTGGTAGGCCCACATGTGAGAGAATGGGTCTGTGTGGTCAGTGTGCACCATATAAAAAAAATCCTGGAGCACGCAGTGCATAATGAGAAAAAAAAAACTCCGACCGTTTTTTTTTTAATTAAAATGCCGACTTTGTGGTCTATTTTCGTATAGTATTTATGGTTGTATTCTCGTTTTCTTGGTCTCATTTGATAGAATGGAAAACATATTATAGAAATAGAGGTGATTTTGATTGATTTTATAAAAAGAACCTAGAAATGGTGCTCAAAGTAGGGGAAATGTTTGATTTTTGCCGATGTTCAAAAGTAAACAAATGATGCCATTGTCTAATAAATGTCCAACTAGCCATTCTAATATGCAGTCATGAATGGGTTGATGTTATTTATACAATTATTACAGTATTGCAGTAGTCTGCATAAAAGTAAGTCTTCTATTTTTTGTTTGAATAAAAATTCAAAATAGAAAGCAAGAGCAATATCAGAGGGGCCTGGAGACATGACTGATGAGCAAAGAAAATGTTATTTTAGAGCCAGGAATGTCTGCATTGTTCATTCTGGACCTTATTTTGAAATTGTCATATTTTTTAGTTTTCGTGAAATTGGCCAAATTGCAAATTTCTGACCACGTTATTAGGTAGTTGAAATCGGTAAATGGGCAGTTTCTTGTACTCAATCGATAGAAAAAATGGAGTTCTAAAGAAATAGCTATGAGTTTGGGTGACTGGAACAATGGAATTAGCCGACAATAGGGCTCAAAGTGGGCGAAATCGCCGATTTGTAAACAGCGCCGAGGTCGCTAACTTCGCGAGAGCATAATTCCGTCAGTTTTCCATCAAATTTCGTTTTTTTTTGGTGTCATTACAATCGGGAAAAGATTCTCTATCATTTCATAAGAATTTTTTTTTTTTTTTTTTTTTAAATTTTGCGACACCAGGAGACACCTCAGGATTGAGGGTTGCGACAGTCAAAGGGTTAATATACAGTGGACCCCCGGTTTACGATCAGCTCCCAATGCGACCAATTATGTAAGTGTGTTTGTATGTGTATGTTTGGGGGTCTGAAATGGACTAATCTAATTCACAATATTCCTTATGGGAACAAATTCGGTCAGTACTGGCACCTGAACATACTTCTGGAATGAAATAATATCGTATACCGGGGGTCCACTGTATTTGAAAAAATTAATCTGTATCAAGGAGAGCCTTCTCTATTTTGAATATAAACCTACTTAGTTACACAGCATGTAACTAAAGGTTAAATTAAATATAATTAAACCTTTTAACAAAATTTCTGTTTTCAAACAGAGTAAAGATGTAGTGAAGGTGAGTAGTCGACAGCCTCAACAAGCCACATATGCCCAAGTGTGTGCTGCATCAGTTACGTCAGTTCAACAAAAAAATGAACCTCAACCATCTATATTAGCTTCACGTCTCACTCAAGCTCAGGTCAGTATGTCTGGTGGCACAGTGACAGAGATCAAGAAACGAGAGATGGATGTGGTGTCCCCAAGTGACTGTAGTATGAGCATACCAAGTACGAGGCCAAGTCTGCCTTCACAACCATCATTGCCTTCACAGCCACCACTGCTCTCTCAAAGAATTATGGATCCATTTACCGTGATGCTTCCTGGAAGTAGTGACCATATGTCTTCTATGTCTGAACATTCTTCTGGCTCAACAGAATTCATTAATCTTAACCAGGATATTGTTCCCAAGGTAAAAGGATGTGTACTGTGTATGTCTGTATTTGTTATTTTTCTTTGATTTTGTGTATTTTTTGCCTTTGTTTCTTTATCTCACTCCCCTTAATATATAGTTTTTTTTATTATTTTCTCTTAAACATTGGCATATATATTCTGGTAATTAGCATGCTATAAATAATTTTAACTGCACCAAAACAAACTTCACATCTTCAGCAAACATTGTTAAAATTAATGCTCTGGGTCAGTTTAAAAAATTTTAAGATTAGATCTGTTGATGTAATGTAGATCTGTCAACTACTATACTTATATCTGTTAGCTTAATGTTGATTTGTTAATTACTATATATCTGTTAATGTAGACTTATCTACTTTACATCTGTTAGTGCAGGGATCATCATCCATGCTATCCCATCATTGGGTCAGAACTCGTGTCTCAGTCATCACCTATGCTGTCCCATCATTGGGTCAGAACTCATGTCTCAGTTATCACCCATGCTGTCCCATCACTGGGTCAGAACTCGTGTCTCAGTCATCACCCATGCTGTCCCATCACTGGGTCACAACTCATGTCTCAGTCATTACCCATGCAGCTCACTCTTATACCAGGCCTCCTAAATTGGAAAAGAAATACAGTGGACCCCCGGTTTGCGATATTAATCTGTTCCTGAGAGCTTATCGTAAACCAAAAATATCGGAAAATGAATCAATTTTCCCCATAATAAATAATGAAAATCAAATTAATCCGTGCAAGACACTCAAAAGTATGAAAAAAAAAATTTTACCACATGAAATATTATGTTTAATTGTCGTAGGGGGTTCGGTAGGAGAATGATGGATAAGGTAAACTCACTTGTTGGATGGTAACGATATATATATTGTCAGACTGTGGTAAGTAAGGGATGGGCCCAGCCTGCCGTGTTACTGCCTGGATGTCTATACGCCGAGTGAGAGCGAGGCAGCTCGTCTCACTGCCTCAAGCTGTACCCCATGATGTCATACAGTCACAGGCCTAGGGAGCTTCTATATAAAGCACATGGATGGTACTATGATACTCAACTAATCTATACATACAACACATGTACGGGATCAGCAACTATGCTGACATAATGCACACAAACTGAAGAAGACATGCACAGTTTGTAGTACTCTACTAACAATAGAATACATGACACTTACCTTTAATGAAGATCTGGTGATGATTGATGGGATGGGAGGAGGGGAGAGTGTCGAGTTGTTAATGTTTAGAAGGGGAATCCCCTTCCAATAGGACTTGAGGTAGCAAGTCCTTTTCCGGGGTTACTTCCCTTCTTCTTTTAATGCCACTAGGACCAGCTTGAGAGTCACTGGCAGCCTCACCATGCCTAATCACACTATGTATGCCACTACGATTCTTAAATCTTTCAAACCAACCTTTGCTGGCCTTAAATTCACTCACATCACCACTAGTTGCAGGCAATTTCTTTACCAAATCGTCATGCAACTGCCCAGCCTATCTCCTGCTATCTGTTTTTCATTTATCCACACCAATAACAGTCTCTCAACATCTTCTAACACTTGCGGTCGCTGTTTTGTAATCACAGTTGCACCTTTTGCAACAACAGCTTCCTTGATTGCCATTTTCCTGGTTGATTGGGGTTTTGTATACAACCTGGCCAGCTCCGACACACGCACTCCACTTTCGTACTTTGCAATTATCTCTTTCTTCATTTCAATAGTCATTAGCACCCTTTTTCTCGAAGGGTTGGCACTAGAAGCTTTCTTGGGGCCCATGGTGACTTACTTTGAAGAAACAGGCACCAAAAACACTGTGATAATGTGGAATGTACCGAATGTATCCTTAGATGCGAGCACACTGGCTGGCTTGTAAACACTGGCACATACGTGGACACGTCTCAGACGAATCGTATACCGGGTTTTTTAACGGGAACCGAGGCAAAATTTTTGCGATATAATGCATCGCATACCGGATTTATTGGATACCGATGGCATCTCGAACCGGGGGTCCACTGTACAGTAATACAGGAAAAAGAGCTACAGCAGGTCACCATTTGCCACCTTGCTGCATTCCTGAAAGTTTGTTGTAACTCAGGTGTTAGCAGCTCTGAACATATTGTACCATAGACACCCATACAATGTAAAGACTTATATTCCTGAACCATAACTTTTCATTTCTAATTTCACTTATTTTTTAACTAGGAATATTTTCCCAATATTTTACAATTCATATGGTTTCTTTTCAGTCACAAATATTATCAGTGTTTATTTAATGTGTAGGGTGAGGATATTTGCAGTTTGGAGGGGCATCTGGACTGTAGTATTGTCATGCATTTGGCAAGACAGTGATAGAGTGAATGATATTGAAAGTGTTTATTATTCGCATCGCCTTACCTTGATGGGAGATGACCAGCATATTAAAAAACAGTTTATTAAACATCAATAAGCATCCAATAAATGTTTATGCTATCTTGCTCACTGGAAGTAATGTTTCCATAATGGAAACTAATCCTGACATTCAATGGCAACTTCATATTAGTAGTGTGAGTACCAATGAGTTCGTAGGACCTATACTGTTTTTCCACGTTTTCCCACCATTATAGGCACACTTCTGGGAAGAATTGCAGTACTTGGTTAGGCCTGATATTGTTAGGCCTATAGTAAGGTACGTATAGCCATCTTATAACCACTATTACCATCGCCACTAACACTAGGTACCATCACCACTAACACTAGGTACCATCACCACTAACACTAGGATACCACACCACAACACTAGTACCATAGTACCATTAAACTGGGTACCATCACCACTAACACTGGGTAAATCACCACTGACATGGGTACCATCACCATTGACACTGGGGACCATCACCACTAACACTTGGTACCATCACCACTGACACTGGTACCATCACCACTAACACTGGGTACCATCACCACCACTGACACACCGACTGGGTACTATCACACTAACACTGGTAAATCACCATTACACTGGGTACCATCACCACTACATGCACCTCACTAACCACTAACACTAGGTACCATCACCACTAACACTTGGTACCATCACCACTAACACTGGGTACCATCACCACCACACTGGGTACCATCACCACTACACTGGGTACATCACCACTGAGGGACCATTCAGGGCTAAACTGGGTTACAATCACCACTAGACTGGGTACAATCACCATGAACGGGTTCAATCACCATTTTACATCGTTCGCCATCCAATTTGAACACTGGCACATCACCACTAACACTGTGACTATTCACCACTAACATGAGACTACATCAAAACTGGGTACATAATTCCCACTAATGGTACAATTGAATCCAAACACTGGATCCATCATACACCATGGTACCATAACAATTAACATTAAGTGTGCATAAAGGTATACAATACCGAATAAGATTGAGTATATTTAAAATAGAATACACGTCAATGCCTACGTTTAATAAGTCGTGCAATCTGATGATGGAAGGACGAGTTAGAAATCAGTGGACTCTTGACATTTGGATACTAATCCGTTTGAGGATCGAATGTCGAAAATATCGAAAGTTATACTTCAATTTTCCATAAGAAATTGGAATCAATTATCGTTGCAAGACACCCAGAAGTATGAAAAAACATTTAACATGACAATTTAAGTTCAATGCAATTGAATAATTATTAAGCGATTTCAACAATGAATAATTCAACAACAATTTGACACTTCCTTAATTTTGAAGATGGCTGATGATTATAGATGGATAGGTTTAGGGTGTGCCAAGTTTACTGTTTAAACTTCTTGAATTCCCCTCCATTAGGACTTGAGGTAGCAAGTCCTTTTGCCAGGTACTTCCCTGGGTCCTTTTAATGCCACTAGACACATGACAAACACAGTGACCTAAATGGTTGTCCGTCGTTCCTTAGTATGTCCTAACATGGCGGCCTTAACATTGCCAAGTGCATAGTCACCCACGCTGTGCAATCAGCTGTGTTAAGGGTATTTCATCCGAAAGGTTTTCCAGTTCAACCAACATTTTGCATTATCCTTAATTTTGAAGTTAGGCAATGAATCAGCATGAGTGGGGCTTCTCAGGGTTTACACCAAACCCTTCAAATCTTTCTTAATTTCCATACTAATTCCCCAACCCTTTTTAACCACAGGTTGGCACTAGAAGCAATTGTGGGGTCCATGGTGATTTATTTTGCAGAAACAAGCACCAAAAACAGTGATAATATGGAATGTACCGAATGTATCCTTAGATGCGCGCACACTGGCGGGCTTGTAAACACTGGCACACACGGGGCAGTTCAGGCCACATGTGGACACGTCTCGTACAAATCGTATCGAATGTCGGGTTTTCCATCGAATGTCGAGGCAAAATTTTTGCATTGAAATGCATCGAATGTCGGATTTATCGAATGTCGATGCCATCGAATGTCGGGCGTCCACTGTATATACAAAAGATGAGGTAATCAGTCCCTGTCTTCAAGTTATGTCCTAGAATTTGTATTGATAAAGCCACCAGATGGCGAAACGTCTACATTAAAGATGCCCAGATGTTGCATGTGTGTGTATTGTGTATTCGGCCCATCAGGGCCGAATACACAATAGAGCCATATGCAACATCTAGGAAATGGAGGACGAGAAAGCTAGAGCAGGAAAACGAACAGCAATCTTTTTCAGACATGAAGAGAAACGATCAGACCTAAGAAAGAGAGAAAAAGGGAAAATGCTACAGATAGGACGGATGGGCAGCACAATGGGACATATCAAACCAGGCCCATTTAATTTTCTCTTTTCTCCTTTTCTTGTTCTTTACACCTTGTTTTCCACTCTTTGTATATATCTGGCAAGCTCCTTAGGAACTTTCTTATGCTTTCTAGGTTTTCACTTTTCAGTACTTCTCTTATGCCCGACCAGCTTTCCAACTCATTGGGGCAAATTCAGAAATGTCTTTCTTGTTTTAGGTCATTTCTCATGAATGATATATTGGATGTTTTACCACATATTTCACA